CCCCCCCCAAGCACCCATTCTCAAACGTCTTTTTTGCGCCTGACGCCTTGGCAAGCCAAATTTGGCTCCAAAGAAAGTCGACTCCCCAGATCTACGCACTAATTCAAGTATATTCAGAATGAGGGTCTCACGTTTACTTTTTCCAAAGTGTGCAATCCATACATATCTCTCCGACTGGACTCTAGGTAAAAGTAAAGCATAAAGTAAAGCCAACAGTGACATTTTTCTGTTAGATGTAGGTACAGTTCCACTGTGACCTTTACGGTGAGCCCAAAAGTGACCTCACTGTGATCTCATTATGACTCTCACTGTGACTCCGGATGTTGCACTCGAGGGCAAGCGGTTTGAATAATGGGAAAGCAAGGAGCATGGGAAACAATGCATTTTTTTTTTACTCCACTTGTACTTTGTGTTTTTTCCCAACTTTTATTCCCATCAAAATGGAATCCTCTCCGAAATGGCATAAAGTCAAATCAGCTCTAACGGCCACTTGTCAAAGACAATCACCAGTACAAATGACTACCCCCTCCCCCTACCCATTTGCGTTTCAAAAAAATATTATAACGACATCGCCCAAGACACCCAACTGTCTAAAACAACTACTTTTCTCTTCGATTATAGATGGCCATCTTGGACAATGTTGTCTGTACTTCTATTTTGTCTAACAGGACTTTTGTTACATTCATGCACAACCCCCACCTCCCCCCGTTTTAACCCGACCTCCCCCCCCTCAAAAAAGCAACCGAAACAATTAAAAATCACCACCCCTTCTCATGTCGTTGCTATACTGTAATAGATCTACGTTCCCACTCATGGACTTACGCCGGTATGTTACTGTGGAACGTGATGAAGCCGTAGAGGAAGACGAGGACGCCGACGACCGAGGCAGGCAGGAGCCAGGCGGTGTAGAAACCTGCAAATAGAAGGATAGATGGAAAAGCTCATACTTATCTTCTATGGAGTGTCGAAAAATAAAACTACAAAAAGAAAAGAAATAAATAAAAAAACACCCCATAAAACACGCGAAAAAGCCTCAAACCAAACCAAGCCAAACCAAACTAGCTCCCTTAAAAAAAGAACTTGAGGTGACTATGTCCAAATTCATTGTCAAGAGAAATAATTGTGCCAAGGTGTTATTAACGGGCCATTGTCATCGTACATTTCTAACACCTTTTTAAAAACTGTAAGATTTATTAAGTTGCCTGACCTCCCAGTTATCATTCATCTCCGATAGGACCGAGCCAAATGGACAGAGAACCTTGAATGAAAACTCTTCCAAAACAACTCACGTTCAGAACACCTCTTTGAAAATTTAAACCAGGGCCATCTCGTCTACAGTTGCCCAGTATGATACCAACTGAACTGACAGTGCGCGCTGGTGTTAACTTGAAATGGTTGGGTATTTACGCATGGAAATTACAATTGTGGTAAAACCTGGAGGACGGAAGGACTTTATTTATTGACATAATGGAACTTCATTTCAACGCCTACATTTTGTTGTGGCGCTCATATGACCTTATGCAGTTGTGAGCGCCATAAAACCCTCTACTAAAAAAAACTAAACATTTTGTTGAGTTTTTTAAATTTAATTTTGTTGCATTTTAGCGAACATTGACAGCCATATTTCTAGCTTTCAGCTGACGTGTAATGAGAAGAGTACTGCTGGGCCTTTGTTTGGGAAGTGTAGGCACAAAGCTACAAATATTGATTGATATGCAAATCTCATAAAAGATACATGCAACATTATAACAATGCGTGGCATCGTGGTGAAATGAGACACTCGTCACAATAATGAACTCAAAGAAACAGTAATTTTTTTCCACTTGAAGGGCAGTTTTTAAAGTCAATTTCTCTTTCTTTTTGGTCTCAACACGTGTTATGTCCTCATTAAACACATTTCTGGGCGTATTTTACTGGAAAAACGTTGTCGAAAGCATAACCAATATGCATCTGCAGTAACCAAGGACACTTTAGCTTTGAGAGTCACTAAGCTTTGGCGTCCATTTTCTCACTAACTTTACCACTGAAACGAGGTGACTCCAACCTCCCACAATCGTAAGTATCTCAATTTATCTTTCATATACATGGGTATTTAAACACATTTTTAAAAAGACAATAATGAACAAGGTTTAAGATGGTAATTATAACTCCATATGCCCCAAAACTGACGAGCGCCTGATTCCATCACGCTACCACACAAATGATATAACGACCATTGTTACGAACAAACAATACGATGGTGTTTTTTTGTATATTAGTCTAGACTATTTTTGTGAAGTTTAGATAGGACGTGTTGTCAGCTAATATTACAATAATCAGGCCTACGAACGCCACAAAATGACAGCACGTTTATGATTAGTGATACATGGGGAGAAACGAACAGAGAAACAAACTCAGTCCGGCTAACAACAACAACAACAACAACAACAACAACAACAACAACAACAACAACAACAACAACAACAACAACAACAACAACAATAATATCAAGAAAAATAACAACGGCAGCAACAACAACAAGAGTAACAAAAGCAACAATGACAACAACAACAACAAAAACAACAACAAAAACAACAACGACAACAAAATCAACAATGACAGAAACATTAATAGCCAAAAATAACACCACCACTATCAACAATAACTGACAGTTACTTGTTGGGGTTAAGGTGGGCCTGGGGAAAGATTGGGGTGCTCATGAATGAGAGGCGAACATGGTAACCCCCTGACCACGAAAGCCCCCCTACAACAGCAGAGAAAGTTCGCTCACCTAACCAGGCGAAGTAGAAACCGATCTTTTTCCCGAAGTTTTCTCTGATTTGGTCGAGAGGCTGGTATGTACATGTACCAACCCCCACAACCACCACCACCACCACCACCACCACCACAACAACAACAGCAACAACAACAGCAACAACAGCGACAACAGTAGAAACAGCAGTAGTAGCAGAAAGCTAACCTAACCAGGTGAAGTAGATGCCGATCTTCTCCCTAAAGTACTCCCAGATGTGGTCCAGAGGCTGGTACTTGTACCAACCCCTCTAGCCATCATCACCACCAGCATAACAACAACAGCAACACCAACAACTACAACACCTACAGCAACAAACAACAACATAACAATAACAATAACAAACAGTTGCTTGTGGGGTTAGGGTGGGCCTCAACAAGACCAGTTGGGGGGGGGGGGTGTACATACTCCACAAAGCTGCAAAGGTTTAAATCTCTACCTCAACAGCAGGAAGCTCACCTAACCAGGTGCCGTATACTAAGAGCTAAATCTCTACCACCACAGCAGGGAGCTGCTGACTCACCTAACCAGGCGAAGTAGATGCCGATCTTCTCCCAGATGTGGTCCGAAGGCTGGTACTTGTACAACCACAACTACGACCACAACACCTACAACAACAACAACAACAACATCAACAACAACAACCAACACAACAACAACAACGATATAACAATAACAATAACAGACAGTTGTTTATGGGGTTAGGGTGGGCCTGGAGAAGGATTTCTTTTTGTTGGGGGGGGGGGGGAGTAAACCACAAGCGGTTACGTGTTGACTACAACAGCAGCAGCAAAGGAAGCTGACTCACCTAACCAGGCGAAGTAGATGCCGATCTTCTCCCCGAAGTACTCCCTGATGTGGTCAAGAGGCTGGTACTTGTACCAACAGCCCCAGCGGGCCCAGTACTTGTGCAGCACCTGTCGCTTGTTCAACAGCTCCGGCTCGATGCTTGCGTCGGGGATCTCGTAGTTACCCTGACATGACCAATCGTTTAATCATCATTCAATCAGTCAATCAATCAGTTATTCAAACAAACAGCAAATCGATCAATCGATCAATCAATCAATCAACCAATTAATCAATCAATCAATCAATCAATCAATCACTCACTCAATCAATCAATCAATCAATCAATCAATCAATCAATCAATCAATCAATCAATCAATCAATCAATCAGCCAATCAATCAATCAATCAATCAATCAATCAATCAACCAATTAATTGGTTGATCAATCAATCAATAAAGACATAAATAAATCATCTAACGAATTTACTAACCAACCAACTATCTAACCAGCCAACCAATCAACCAACCTACCAACCAGTATATAAGCGAATGAATGAATGAATCAATGAATGAAAAGAATAAAATATAGTTTATCAGTCAATCAGTCAACACAAATCAAACAAAATAAAAATAGACCCTAAAGCAATCAATGAACAGACCAGGTAATCAATAAATCATCTACCTGCGAACACAAAACTAAACAAAACAAAGGAGATTTCTATCTCGAACTTTTCAATCGAAGGGTATCAACTATGCCCATTGTATCGAACTCAATGAGAATGAACTCTCCAAGTTTCATGCGTGCATTTATAGAATTTCCTACAAGAGGGGGGAATGGAACGGACACACACACGCACAAACACACATACACATACACATACACACGCACATACACTCAAACACACACACACACACACGTGTACCCGCACAAACACACATATACATACACACTGACATACACGCGCACAAACACACAAACACATACATACACACAGACACACTGTGTATACATACACACATGCACACACACATACAAACACACAGACATTCACACACATAAATACACACACAAACACCTATATGCCCCCCCCCCGAACACATACACACACACACACCCACTCACGAGCCCCGAGGCTGACTCATCGGACTTGTGAAACTTGATCGAACCCAGGTTAGGAACTATTGCATTGATCTAACTCAATGCAAATTATAGTTTCGAACTAAAATTTTAATGTCCGAGACTGAACTTACATCTTAAACTTTTCTTTTTTTTTTTGGCGGACAGGAAAAAAGGGGGGGGGGGAGAGAAGAAACTCTCATACTTTTATCGGGGGGGGGGGGGGGGGTTGTCAAGTATCTCTCTTTGTCTGCTAGGATGAGGTGCTGTAGTCCTCTCAGCTGAGATCAACTTCTGATAGGCGACGTCAGATCAGCCCGCACCATACTTACTTTTTACTTTTCCCGTCCTCTGGTATCCTTAAGATGTCGAGGGTAGCTTCCATGAAATCAATGATTTGTGGTTCCTTGTCTCCTAATTCGCATACATTCCATGTTCCAATTTTCGTTGTTCTATCTCGTGTCCGTTTGACGTTTTCATTCCTTTTTCCCCGTTAGAGTCTGTCCGTTTCTTTTCCCCCTTTCTTTGGTTTTTAGCAGCCTGCACCATAAATGATCTATATTGTGCTTAAGGAGGCGTAAAAGGAATATTTATATGTTTTGTTTTGTTTGTTCTCATCGTATGAACAACTTCTGATAGGTGACGTCAAGATAGCCCGCATCATGGGTATTCTAAATTGTGTTGAAGTAGACGTAAAAGAAATATTTACAAGTTTGCTTATTTAGTTCTCATGTACTCACACTGTGTAGAGGGAAAGCAGCCACAAAACCGTGCTCATCGATCAGACGTTCAATGCCGATTTCCGCGCGCTTTTTCTTCCCGTAGACAGTCGTGGAGAGGATCTCACCGAGGATGCGATGACGTTGTGTGTCCTCGAAGAAATTCTCTTGGTCGTCGCTACCCAAGAACCTGGAGGGTTGAAAGTTTGAATCTTTTGCTGATCATGTGTTAGAAACATCCCCCCCCCCCCCCA